TTGTCTGCCATCCAGTCAGACAGGTTCCCTTTTGGGGAGAGGAACTTCAATGCTATGTGGAAAACTTCCATCATGGGAATTTCCTCAGAATCCAATCTGAAAGAGTATATAAACAGGCCAATGAAATGCCAATGAGTTGGCAGCATCAGCATGCACAGCTGTCACTACTTACAATTATTTTGGATTATAAGTAATACACGGTGGTAGACGATCGAGCTGGCTTTCTCCCTTGCATGGTGTTTTTTGTGTCCAGTCCTTAAGACCAGTATTTATTGTTGCCAATTTCCTAAAAGAGCAACTAGGTCGTGTCTATTTCAAGGCGTTTCTGGATGCGGTGGTTTCCTGTCCCCGGATGATGGCACAAGCACTGCATTTCATGTCTGGGGGTCCAGCATGTTGATGCGGTGGACCCCCAGCATGTTGATGCGGTGCTCGCGGGCAGTGCATGACATCACTGCGGTGGCATGTTTGTTGTGCTGTTGAGATCATGTTGTCAGATCTAAAACAGACAAGGTAACTGTGCTTTCCCTGGCTGCTTTGGTTGTGGGCCTGGAGTTGATTTATCCCCCAGCCCCGTGGCTGGACAGACTGGATAGGCAAGACTTTCTAGCCTCCCATCCCTTTATTCCCAGAAGTGGGAAGGCACATTTCTCTGCCCGAACTGCATGCGCCTCCGCCCTCACCACTCTTGATGGTGGAGCAGCCAGGGAGTACGACTTGATTCCCCGGATTGAGAGTTTCATTGCGGGCCGACGTGGTGGTTCCTGGTGGAGTCAGCCTCATCTCCCATCCAAGGTATGCAGGTTATCTGCTTCCCTCTGAGCCAGAGCCCACACAGCCGCGGGCCAGGCTGCTTCCAGTCTGCACACTATGACCACCTACCAGCGCTACGTAGCACAGGCGCTGGCCGGCGGCTGTGTGTTACGCAAGCCCCACACCGCCACTGACTGAGCTCTACGGACAGAATTTTACTGTTTGTGCCCTGGGAAGGACAATGTGCACATTAGTGGTCGAGGAAGCCCACCTCTGGCTAAACCTGGAGAAAAGATATGCACAAAGTTGACAAAGTTCGCCATATCCCAGGCTGGCCTGTTTGGCGACACCATCTGTGAATTCACTAAGGAAATCACAACGGTGCAGTCAGATGCGTTGCGCAGAGTCATCTATATGTGGGGACGCAAGTCTGCCCCCTCCCTCCGAACTATCCACATCCACTGCTTCTCGCTGAGTGCACCCAGCTGCAAAAGCTGCTCTGCCCCCACCTGCGCCTCCTGCGAAGTGGCAGCGCCAAGTACCTTGCAGGCAACCAGCGCTTCCCGCCCCAGGGCACCACTAAGTCTAGTAAACGGATGTAATGAGTAAAGTGTATGGCCCCTTTAAGAGCACGGACCCTTTTTTTTAATGTTGTTGCTATGGTTGCATTAGACACGAGCACCTGCATGTATGTGAGGGTACTGTACTCTGTTGCTCTGTTTACTTTTATTTTCTTCAGTAACCCTGAGTGCGGCATTTAGTTTGTAAAGGACAGTATACTCATTTTCTGGACAATAAACTACTACTGAGGGAAAATCATCTTTACAAACTTACATGTGGCAATCGAACATATTGTCTTTGGACAACTCGCTGTAAGTGACATTCAAAGATATTTTTTTTTCCTTTTGGATTCATGGACTTTTTTTAATGCGTTAAAGCGGCAAGATACACGCGAGTGATGTGTGCAATGACAAGTGTGATTCATTGGAGCATTAAAGCACCCTGCTACGTGAAAATCATTTAAGCACGCGGGATTCGTTTAGGTTTTTTTGAGGAGTCGTTTGAACTGGAGGACTAAAAGAAAACGCAGATTTGTTTTATAAATTACAAAATGAGGATTGAGGAAAAATTAGGAAAAAAGAACTTATTTTGCATATATGCACATTTTCTGTTCAATTGTTCGTTGTTATCCTTGCAGTTCCACTACAGACCAATTCAATGATGTTTAATGATGATTCAGTCAGTTTAGCTCTTAAACTTTGCTGTCATAATACATCTCTGGGGATATATTTTATTATAATACTATCTGTGTTTTTTGCCTTTTATTGAGTATTCCATTGTCTACTCCTTTTTAATAATAGTTGGTATAACAAGCAGTCTGCTAATTGAAGATTTAGAATGCTATGGCTAAAAACAAATACGGTTTGTTTGACCTGACTGATACAGATATGACTGATTTGACATCACTTTTTGAGTCTTAGCCTAGGAAGAGAGTGTCAAAGTCGACTGATTGCCTAAAGACACAAGTCGAGACACTTAAGACAGAAGTGGAGGTGCTTCGCAAATGGTTGAGAGAGTCGGTTGATCTAAAAAAAGGTACCATTGATGATTACAAACAGGTTGCATTCACACCCACTTCAAACCCCTTACCTGCATGTAGGGATCCAGTAGCATCTTCCACTCCTTTTGCTTGGGCCCAGCCTGTTTACAAGCCAAAATGTTTAGCAACAGCTGTTGAATGTAATATAGCATCTAGAAATGCAGCAGACTTAACTAAAACATCCTTACTCCTGAATAGCACAACTAGAGCTCTAGTCTCATTTTTAAATAAGTCAAAACTTGAGCCTCCAGTTTTCAGAAGAGATGGCAAAGTTCTGCCTGCGGATTGGCTTCAACTTGTTGATGTGTAAAGATTTTCATTGGGACTGAGTGATGCAGAGATTTTGATTAGATTTTTTGAGAATTACCCCACTTCCTAGCCAAAGAACCTGGAAAATGGTTTTCAGTATTAAGTGAAAACATTACAACATGGACACATTTTTGCTCTGTTTTCAAAGGTGTGTTTCTTCCATTGGACAAATAGGAACGCATCTTGAGAGGCGTTCTTGACCTTGTTCAAGCACCCAATAAGCCTTTCCCTACATTTGTGGTACATCTTTTGAATTAGATTCAAATTTATTGTCATTACACATGTACAAGTACAATGCAACCAAATGCAGTTTAGGTCTAACCAGCAGTGCAATAGCAGCAAGTGCAGGATACAGGTAGAAGTTATAAAGTAAAGTTATAGAAAAACGCACTGGTTACTGAAGTAACCCTCGTTCCCCTTCGTTTGGGGAACTTCAGTGCCATAGAGTGGATTAAATCCACGAATGGGAGATTCGGATCAGAAGCTGCTTGTCTGGAGAGTTATTGAACGGGCCAATGAATGAAATTAATTGGCAGCGTAAGCTTGCGCAGGTGTGCTGCATCGGCAATTATCCCAGCATATAAGCACACCTGAAGCCAGCAGACGCTATCCTTTTCGCTTCAGATCCTTTCTGAGTGAGTCGATGAGGGTTCCTCTTGCTGTTCAGCACTTCAGAGCGAACGAGTGTGTCTCCCGGTTCAGAGTGGGTCTTCGCGGTGGCAGACGGTCGAGCTGGGTTTCTCCCTTGCCTGCGGTTCTTTGGGTCCGGTCCTCCAGAGCGGTGCGTATTGTTGCAAACTTCCTATTTATTTTTTTATGCGTATTGAGCAACACAGTCGTGCAGCACGTCCTTTTCAGGATGGCGCTCCGACTGTGCGTTTCTGGATGCGGGGGTTTCCTGGCTCCGGATGATGGACACGATCACTGCATTGCGTGTTTGGGGGTCCAGCATGTTAATGCGGTGCTCGCGGGCGGTTCATGTCGTCATTGCGATGCCATGACCGTTGCACAGCTAAGATCGCGGCTAACTTTCGCAAGAGAGCGAGCCACCCCAGTTGCCTCCTGTTCTAAAAAAGCAGCGGGCGCTCGGGCAGATCTGAGGGTTCCAGCGGGAGATAATCCGCCGCCCACGGGCTCGCGGACCTCTCGCTCCTCACGGCGCTCCATCCAAGCTTCGGGTAGTGGGAGTGATCCGTCTAACCAGATGGTAGCTCTCACACTGGCTGACACCGGAGATCAGATGTCCTCCGTGGCATCGGAGGGTGGGCTTTCACTGTCCGACGAAGATCCGGACACGCTCGCCCCCTCCGGGCAGGTGAGCGCCATCAAATCGGATCCTGAAGCGGACATGTTAGCCGTGCTTTCCCGGGCTGCTTTGGCCGTGGGGTTGGAGATGGTTCATCCCCCAGCTCCGCGGCCGGACCGACTAGATGGGTGCTATGTAGAGGACCAGAAGGCGAAGCCTTCGAAGCCTCTCGTCCCCTTCTTCCCGGAAGTGCACAGTAGGCTCAAGCAGTCTTGGAGGGCACCTTTCTCTGCCCGTGCTGCGTGTACCTCCGCCCTCACCGCCCTTGACGGCGGAGCTGCCAGGGGGTATGAGGCGATCCCGTCAGTGGAGCGCGCTATCGCGGTCAATTTTTGTCCGCGCGGCGCCTCTACGTGGCGGGGTTTGCCCCGCCTCCCGTCCAAAGCCTGTAGGTTGTCTGCCTCCCTCGGAGCCAGAGCTTATAAGGCTGCGGGCCAGGCTGCTTCTGCTTTGCACGCGATGGCCACCTACCAGCGCTACCAGCGCAGGCGCTGGCCGAGCTGCATGAGGGCGGGTCCAACCCAAGCTTATTACATGAGCTGCGCACCGCGACCGACTATGCTCTTCGGACTACTAAGTCCGCCGCGTGTGCGCTGGGGAGGACGATGTCCACACTTGTGGTTCAGGAACGCCACCTCTGGCTAAACCTGGCCGATATGCGCGATGTTGACAAAGTTCGCTTTCTTGACTCGCCCATATCCCAGGCTGGCCTGTTCGGCGACACCGTCGGTGAATTCACCCAGGAATTCAAGGCGGTGAAAGAGCAGTCGGATGCGATGGGCAATGTCATCTATCGGCGTGGGGACCGAG